CTCCGCCTTCATCCCTCCTTCCGCGCCTCCTCCTCTCTAATTCCACCTCCTTGTCCCCCTCCTTCATCCCTGCCGTTCCCTCCTCCTCCTCCTGCCCCAGCAGCAGCGACCCCCTCGCTGCCCCGTTCCCGGAGCCCTCGCAGCCCGCGGCAGGAGCGGGGATGGAGCCGGGACAGCTCGGCACGGGCAGCGCGGGGCTCTCGGCTGCTCCCAGCCGCTGCGGGCGGGCGGGGGGAACCCGGCCCGGGCAAAAGGAGAGGCAAACTGGGACAACTGGGGGCCCAACATCCAAACTGGGCCTTGCTGGGGACCCTGCCTGGCCACTGCCAGCCCTTGGGGCTCCTCTCGGCACAGCCGGGACGGGGAACGCACAGAGCGCTGCGGGATCCCAGCACTGGCAGCACTGCCAGGGACTGGGCTGGACTGGGATCGCTCTGGGATCATTCTGGCAGTGACTGGGACTGTACTGGATTAGTACTGCCACACTGGGATCAAAATGGTACCATGCTGGGACTGTACTGGGTTTGTACTGCCATAATGGCATCATACTGGGATCATGCTGGGGCTGTACTGGGTTTGTCCTGACTTCATACTGGGATCATACTGCCATGCCAGGGCAGACTGTGATCACACTGCTGGAGAGTCATACTGGGACTGAGTAGGGGCCTGCTGGGGGCACTTGACACTATGTTAGGGGCAAATGGGATCTACTGGGAGTGACTGGGATTATGCTGAGCATGACTGGGAGCTACTGGAAGCCACTGGGATGAAGCCAGTAGCAGCTGGGAGGAACTGGGAGTCACTGGCTGCATGCTGGGCATGATAGGAAACTACTGGGCTTATACTGGAATAAACTGGGGTCATGGCTGGAGTCGACTGGGATCATACTGGCCGTGAGTGCCACCACACTGAGGCTGACTGGGAGTGCTGGGGAGCAAATGGGATCATACTGGAAGGAACTGGAACGGTGCTGGAGTGAACTGGGGTACACTGGGAGATACTGGGAGTGACTGGAAGGAAAGTGAGGGTGAAAGAGAGCAACAGGTACCCTGTGGAGCACAATTGCTTTATTGTGGCAGTGACTGGCAGCACACTGGAGCCGTATTTGGATCCTACTGGGAGTGACTGGACTAAGCCTGGGAGTATCTGGGAGTGACTGGGAACACACCCTGCACATCATCCCCCATACTGGGCCTGACTGGGAGCAACTGGGAGCACGCTGGGAGCAAATGGCATCATACTGGGACTGACCGGGTTGATCTAGGACGCAACTGGTACCATACTGGAGACAGCAGGGTCCGTACTGGAAGAGATTGGAAGCCACTAGGATGATACTGGGACCATACTGGGAGTGAGAAGGACTATGCTAGGGATAGCTGGGAGAACTGGGAACCCACTGGATGAAAGTGGGAAGAACTGGGAGCAACTGGGATCATCCAGGCATTCAGGGGAAATGGCCAGGATTATATAGGGAGCAACTTGGCTAATATTGGGAGAAACTGGGATCCTGCAGAGAGTGAGGGGAAATGATGCTTTTCTCACTGGGAGCAACTGGGATCATCCAGGCATTCAGGGGAAATGGCCAGGATTATATAGGGAGCAACTTGGCTAATATTGGGAGAAACTGGGATCCTGCAGAGAGCCAGGGGAAGTGTACAAGTTCATACTGGGAGGTACTGGGCGGATACTGGGAGCAACTGGGATCCTGCAGAGAGGGAGTGGAAGTGGCCAGGCTATTACTGGGAGTGAATGGTCTCATACTGGGAGTGCCGAGGAAACGGAACATGGGTGGTGACTGAGACCACACTGGGAGTGGCTGGGAATGTGCTGGGGGAACTGGGGACAAGCTGGTACTAAGTGAGAGGGAATGGGGACCTGCTGGGAAAGACTGGGATCATACTGGGAGTGCCTAGGACTATGCTAGGGACAACTGGGAGAACTGGGAACACGCTGCATGAAACTGGGATGAACTGGGATCTTCCTTGGGGAAAATAGCATCATCATATGGAATGACTGGGAGTGACTGGGCTCATTCTGGGAGCAACTGGGCTCATAATGGGTGTGATTCGGCTCATACTGGGAGGAACTGGGTTCATACTGGGAGCAGCCACTGCCGGCCCCGGGACTCCCCAAAAACACCTCCCGGGGACCCCCGATGTCCTCCCGAGGGCCATCTGCGGCTGAGCTTTAGAGCCCTGCCAGCTGCAAACATCCCCCCAAAAAACCCACTGGGCTGGCTGCGATCATACTGGGAGTGACTGGGACTATAGTGAGTATGTACTGACATCATGCTGGAATCCTTCTGGGATCATGATGGTAGTGAGCAGGAGCCTTTAGGGGGCAATTGTGACCTTGTTAGTGGGAAATGGGATATACTGGGAGTGACTGGGATGTGCTGAGGGTGACTGGGAGCAGCTGGGAGCAACTGGAGTCCTGCTGGGAGCAACTGGGAGTGACTGGCTTCAAACTGGGATTATACTGGCATGCCAGGGAAGTCTGTGATCACACTGATGGAGACTGGGATCCTACTAGCAGTGGCTGCAAACATACTGGGATTAGAGTGAGTGTGATTGGATCCTGACTGGGGTTACTGGGAGCTACATGACTCATATGCAGGGACTAACTGTGGACATAATGAGAGGATCTGGGAGCAACTGGGACAAACCTGGGGGCAAGTGAACCATGCTGAGGTAACTGGGAGTGCCTGGCAATGACTGCCAGAATGTTCAGACCAACTGGGATATACTGGGAGTGTCTGAGACCACATGGGTGGTGACTGAGACCACACTGGGAGTGGCTGGGAATGTGCTGGGGGAACTGGGGACAAGCTGGTACTAAGTGAGAGGGAATGGGGACCTGCTGGGAAAGACTGGGATCATACTGGGAGTGCCTAGGACTATGCTAGGGACAACTGGGAGAACTGGGAACACGCTGCATGAAACTGGGATGAACTGGGATCTTCCTTGGGGAAAATAGCATCATCATATGGAATGACTGGGAGTGACCAGGCTCATTCTGAGAGCAACTGGGCTCATAATGGGTGTGATTCGGCTCATACTGGGAGGAACTGGGTTCATACTGGGAGCAGCCACTGCCGGCCCCGGGACTCCCCAAAAACACCTCCCGGGGACCCCCGATGTCCTCCCGAGGGCCATCTGCGGCTGAGCTTTAGAGCCCTGCCAGCTGCAAACATCCCCCCAAAAAACCCAAAACCCAGGGACCCCCCGGGATCTTTGGGCCGAGCTCCCCCTCCCCGGGCACCTGCGGGATGGGGGGCGATGCTCCCGGGGCTGCGGCGACTTCAGGGAGCGCCAGGGCCACGAGATTCCTTCTCTCCTTCTCCTGGAGCTTCCTGCTGCCGCTCCGCCTCTTCCTCCCTCCCTCCTCCTGCTCCTGTCCCGTTCCCGAAGCCGTCGCAGCCCGCGGCAGGAGCGGGGCTGGAGCCGGGACAGGTCGGAACGCAGAGCGGGGGCGGGGGATGCCAGGAGTGGGATCGCTGGGAGTGACTGGGCTGTACTGGGATCATACTGGGAGCAGCTCCTGGCTGACTGAGTTATACTGGGATCATACCGGGGTCATGCTGGGAGTGAGTGGGAGCAGCGCGATGGCTCCAGCGCTGGGGCTGGGGGCGCTCCTGGGGCGAGGGGGGAGTGGGACCCCCGGCACCGGGACCCTGAGCTGCCATTGCCGGCACCGGGACCCCCCTGCTCCCCTCATCCTGCCCAGGAACCCTCTGAATCCCCCATTTCCGGACATCAGGACCCCCTGCTCCCCTTTTCCCAGCCATCCCATGGCTCCCAGCCTCCAGACTTCCCGTGTGCCTGACCCTGGGACACCCTGGAATGCCTTGGACCCCCATTCCTGCCTTTCCCAGCCCCCAGCCCCACGTGAGAGCTGCAGGAGAAGCTCTTCCCACACTGGGGACACTCGTAGGGCCTCTCCCCGGTGTGGATGCGCTGGTGGGTGACGAGATCAGAGTTCTCCCTGAATCCCTTCCCGCAGTCGGGGCAGCAGAAGGGCCTCTCCTCTGTGTGGCTCTGATAGTGCCTGAGGAGATGGGAGCTGGTCTGAAACCTCTTCCCACACTTGGAACACTCGTAGGGCCTCTCCCCGGTGTGGGTCCTCTGGTGGCTGATCAGGCTGGAGCTGTAGCTGAATCCCATCCCACACTCCCCACACTTGTAGGGTGTGAGTGTCTGTCCAAAATTTCAGCAACTGGCTTACACTTGGAGTCACTGGGATCACACAGGAGGCTACTGGGGTCATGCTGGTATTGACAGGGAGCAACTGGGATCACACTGGGGGCACTGGCATCAGACTGGGACTGACTGGGATCATACTGGG